ACAAAATGTAGGCAGTGATGACTGACGTTGGCAATAAGACGCCCTGGAAGTCAATGAATCGTAAAACTTTGCAGACTGCGTCTTTGCTTACGTTCCCACGCAATGTTCGTAAATGTAAATTTAATTTATTGAATTTCAGCCAAGCCGAATTTGCAGAGTTGATGTGTCTGACACACAGTTATGGATAATAAATATGCTGCTGCGTAATAAGTTGTAATAATAATAACGACAACAACAACAATGCGTGTAAAGAATAAAATGTTGTTTTTGTATGCGTTGAAACGTGATGTGTTATATTATATAAGCAGCATCAGACGCCTGAAATTCGTCACGTATTTAGGTATCATCCACCTGGTTAACTGTGGTGGGCGCTTGCATAATGCTAAAAATGTAGTAATTTTCTTTAATTTTTTTGCATATAAATTACGTATATATGTAAATACATATGTATGCACATATGTATGTATACTTTCACATGTACTTATGTGTAAAGTATGCATATTAAAAATTTAAAAAAATTATTATTAAATATATTTTTTAAATTTTTTAATGAAAGATGAATTTTTTTATTCATAAAACATGAAAAAAACATATTTTGATATTGCTTTATATAATTTAATTGAAAAGAGGGGAGTCAAGATATTCAAATATATAACATATCATTAGTTTATTAAAGAACTAAACGTGTTTTTGTCAACAGAGTAACGGTGTAATTATATTCACTTACATTTAAATATACGTAAGTATTAACATAATACATTAGGTTGATATGCGTTATTGTATAAAGTACAGGCATTTTAGCGACATGTCACCTGTTCAGTAACTGCTTTAAAAGCATTTTTTTGCAAACAACTCTATTCGAAGCCTTATTCAAAAAATCTAAATTTATAAAGATCTGATTTACATAAAATTTGGCGTGAATCTCCTTGATACATATATCCTCTTAATGGCCATAATTTAAAAGTAATTTTTTAATTTTAACTATTTTTTAAAAAATTCCGAAAAGTAAACAAAGTTCGAGAGAAAATAAGTGGTGAACTTTGTGTTGATTGAGAATTTAACCGTTTTATACTCTGAACAGGGTATATTAAGTTTGCCACGATATTTGTACAACTCAAAAGGAAACGTCAGTGATCATATAAAGTATACTTATATGAGCAAAAAAAATAATATATTTTATTAATAATTGAAAATAAAGTTTTGTAATTTTGGAACCAATCGTGCTTCTACTTTTCTTAGGCTCAAATGACTTTTCAAAAAGGTTTCCACTAAACCTTCCGATATTCCAACGATGATAGTAAGATCTGTGACTGTTCATCGTCGAATCTCAAGCACCAATTTCTTTATTTTATTGACGTGATGGTTATCAGTTGATGTTGATGGCCGTTCTGGACGTGGTTCGTCGTCGTCCAGACCCCTTTGAACAATTTGTATTAATCAAAAACAACATTCTGAACGTTTCGGCACCAGAAATTTGATTCCGCATACAAAATGTAATGGAATAAAAATAATAATGAATAATTTCACTCATCGTTAAAATCGCCGAATGTACTTTATGTACTTCAGAAAGACAAACGTATAAAAAATACTAATGATTATTTTGATGCGACATTTGACACAGATGTCACTGACAGTCAACGAACATAAAAAAAAAATATTTCGCTGCAAGAAATTTGTGAAATTTAATTTCCAAAATCTTACCAGTTTTTGCCCAGTATCAATAACCAAAATTTTTAATTTTTGCTATTTTTAAAAAATTCGGAAAAGTTAACGATTAGAAAAGAGTGCTAGTATGAAAAACTTATTAATTTGAGGAGATATTTCTATGATTGGCATGGGTTATTGTACAAAGCAATGATGTAGCAGTTAAAGCTGACCTACAAACTGAAGAATCGGAATTAAGGCAAAAATTGATTCACTGTTCGGAGATATAGAAACTGGTTCTGCCAGTTCGCGAAACTTTGAAGGCGATTTTCTCGAAACTGTCTTCTGAAACGAGTTGATCGAAATTTTTATGGAGTATTTTAATAGACTTGCCTATGTCTGGAACTAGACGCCAAAATGCTTAAAATATTTACAAAATTCGAAACAGTCATTAAAGGGTTACAAGATCCAGTCTATTGTTGGATTTGTTTTATTGTATAAAACCGTTCTTGTTGAGAAACATATATTTCATATCTCTTCGGAATAATATTTTTAAACAGATGAATTCAAATTCGTTATAAGGGTTGTTAAAAATTTAATACCGCAATGATTAATTTAATAATAATAATAAAAGTCTTTGTTCTTCTAATTTTTCGCTACTAAACAAAAATCAGTCCACCCTAATGTGCACAAAATATCAATAAGTCAGTTAGTTGCTTCATCAATCAATCAGCCGGGGCAATATTGCGTTAGAACAACCGCACATAATGGCATATACATATGTACGTATTATGTATGGCTGTGTGTGTGCTAATATTAAAATATGTCAATCAGAAAATGCGAAAAACGTTTCGCCCGTCTCGTCGCTGGTTAAATATTAAATTTAATTTCGCTAAGCAGCATATTCAAACAAAGAAAAAACGAGGAATGCTTGTGCAATCAGCGACTGCTTGTAATGTGTCGCCGTGCACACAACGCCGCACACTTTTAATATCACTTCTTATTTTCAGTTGACATTCACAGCATTGTGTGCATTCGCGCCAGCTGTTTAAATCAATTACGTCGTGCGAGGTGTGAGGGGATTTATTTAAATTCATAACGCGATGTTGTTTTGACGCTTCGCTGAATTATTATAAATAACGGAATGTGTAACGGTTGTTAAAGTAGTACATACATAAACACATCGGTATACAAAAGTATAGAAATACTTATGCTCAAATAAAAAAGTGCATTTATACAGTTACTTATGTATGTATGTATATAGGATATTTTTTTTCCTCCATTGTAGAAGCTCCATTTATCTACACAAGTAATAACATCAATATTTACTCCGATCAGACTGCTAATGATACAGTTTAGACTGGTTTGAGAAAGCAATATTTCAGTTAACTCTCATTTAACTTCATTTGGATTTATAGCGATTAAATTGCATATTGTCTACTAAGGCGTGATACCCGAAGAACCTGATTTTAGGATTCATAGCCAATAATAGGTGTGCTGAAAAGTTTCCGGCCTGGCACATAGAAGGCGCAACTGGAATTAAATCTTTATGATTTTTAGTTACCTCTAACCTTCAGGAAAAACGAAGAAATGCGGTGGCTTACAGAAGGTTTCAAGACCGGAGTATACTTTTGTTGAACCCTCAAAGGTGACCTAGTGACTGTTGCCCAGAGCATACTGAAAGTATGGATGGAACAGTTCACCAGCCCATTCAGCAGGCAGTGAAAGCAAAACGACAGGAGATGGTGGACCCCGATTCCCCAATCGAAGACGATGTAGTGGACGTTGCATTGCCCGAGCATGAAGAAGGTCAAATATTAATAACCCGGGATACCCATCGAATAATTTGTATTGACTATCATCAATAGGGCTATCAACACCGACTATTATAAAGCTTTATTGGACACTTTGAAGAACGAAATCACCGAAAATGGCAGCAGTTAAAAAAAAAAGATAATGTGGACTCATCAGGACAATGTGCAGAGTCTCAAGTCGGTGAAAACGATGACAAAAATCCAAGAATTGGGCTTCAACTTGTTTCCGCATACACCATATTCTCCAAATCTGGTCCCCCTCTACCATTTTCTGTTCCCAGATCTCGAAGGAATGATTGCGGGAAGAAATTTTCGTCGAATGAGAAGTGATCGCCGAAACTCACTTCTAATTTGAAGCAAAGAACAAATCATATTACAAAATAGATATCGAAAAGTTGAAGAGCCGTTATAATCAGTATATAACCCTTGAAGGGAACTAGGTTGAATAAAAAATAACGATTTTTTTTTTAAATGTGTTTACTACTTTTCGTTTCCAATTGATCTGCTAATACTATTTATATCGAGGCTCATATAATAAATACATATATCTTTTACATAGGCAAAGCGGAAAGAATGAAGTATACATTAAGGAAGCACAGAGTAGTTCTATAGTATATAGTTACTGTAGTTGAATATATTTGGCCACATAACTACAGTAGAGAGAGAAACGTGCTAGAGACAGGAATAAGGCTTATTTATACAATATTTCATCAATTGCAAACTGTAAACTAGTACAAAACTTTAGCTTAAAATTTCCTCCACTTATTGACTTAACCACATAATAGGTGCTATGAGTGCCTACATTAAAGTGAATTTGTATTATTATTATTCGTAAACTTGTGTAAGTAACAATTAGGCATTAGCTTTCCTGTTAACTTTCACACCAAAATAATTATACATATGTATGTCCTTATGCAACTGAAAGGAAAGTGTATTTAATAATTGCGCAATAAATACATTCTTCAGTGTTGATAATTTTGTAATTTTTACACTTTTCAACTTGGAAAGAAATAAAGAAAGTTTGAAAGTTAAAAATTCATAAATTTTGTTGACAGTTAAGAGCCTCTACAAAATGTCAATAAGAGTAGGTGGACTGTGAGACAAGTAAATTGAAGAAATATATATACTATACATATTGAAACTAATTCAAAATTTTTTTAAAATAAATTTCATGATAATTTACAGAAACCCGAAGGAACTTTTGTGAACTGTAATTTCGCTAGATGGCACTGGAGTTTTATTATGAAGAGAAAAACGAGTTTTTGATATAATTTCGAAATAAACAGTAATCTGGTTAATCATACTATCCGGTGAATTTTATAAGGACGCTAGGCGGCGTATGTACATCTGGCTTAAACATTTTGTAGCGCATGTAACGTTTCGTAAATGCCGAAATATTTCGAATCAGAACTTACGCAATTGGTGTGAGGAAATTTGTCGTGAAAAACTCATATAAATACTTGCTCATCACAAATGTCAACTTTATTTCCGGTTGAAATCTCGATTCTTAAATTTTAAGTCTAAAAACATCACGTAAGCATAATGCCTGAGGCACGCACTTTCAGCGAATTCATACGCATACCCATCAGATTTTACCAGACCATTGGTGAGGATCTCTATGAGCATCGCTCACCATATCGCATTAGACGCCTGTTGCTCAAGTCACTGCTCTATCTGGGTTTCCTCAATTTCAACATACTCGTTGTCGGTGAGATTATTTACTTCGTAAAAGCTTTGAACTCGTTCGCCACCGTTTTGGAGGCAACCGGTGTGGCGCCTTGTATTGGTTTTTCTTTTGTAGCGGATTTCAAGCAGATCGCTTTAACAGTGCACCGTCGAACCTTGCGTGAGCATTTGGATCAGATGGAAGAGTCATTTCCGAAAACCGCTATGCAGCAAGTTGAATACAAATTGCCACAGCGTGAACGTGTTATGCGACGTGTGATGGGCATTTTCGCGTTGCTCTGTTTAGCATACACATCCACGTTCAGTCTTTATCCGGCGCTTAAGGCTGCCGTGCAATATTGGCTCTTGGGTGCACCCGTTTTTAAGCGTAATTTCGGCTTTGCCATATGGTATCCATATAATGCCACCGAAAAGACTTGGGTCTACTGGCTCACGTATATGGGTCAAGTGCATGGCGCATATTTGGCTGGTGTGGCCTTTCTCTCGGCCGATCTGGTATTGGTGGCCTCGGTGACACAGCTTTGTATGCACTTCGATTACATTTCACGTTGCCTGGAGGAATTTGCTGGCCGTTCGGAGAGTAGCAGTTCGCAAGAGGATTTACAATATTTGCAAGCCTTAGTGGTGAAACATGCCAAGTCTTTGGAGTGAGTGTCGGGTGGAGAATAATGCTTTGGGGGGATGCTGTTGTTGTTGGCATGTCAATATGCTAAGAATAAGTATTATTTGCTTTGTTTTGTTGCAGGTTGAGCGAACATGTCAACAGAATTTTCAGTTTCTCTTTACTACTGAATTTCCTAACTGCTTCGCTGACCATCTGTTTTATTGGATTTCAAGTGACTGCTTCGTCTACAGAAGATATTGTAAAATATATTATTTTTCTAACAACCATGCTGGTGCAAGTGTTTGTAATCTGCTATTACGGTGATGAACTGATGACGGCTGTAAGTGAAGACATTATTTTTACACAATTTTATTAGTTTGTATGGAGCTTGAGTCTTTTGTTCCACCACCTTTCTTTTATAAGTACTAAAAAATAATAAGATGAGGTTTTTTGCACTCGATACTTTAATTTTTTCTCCGCAAGATCTTTCTACCTTATGTGAATCTTTTCCCATCCGTTAGTTTTGGTTAAGCTTTGTAAACATTTGGAAGTGCATTCGATTTCGACGTGTCCGTGTTCCCAGCTTCTTTCCACTTGATTTGTATCTAGTTCAGAGAAATGAGACTAAAGGGCGGTAAGTCGGACCATACTTAATTTTCAGTGGCTCGGAGCGGTTTCCAACAATTCGTTCTAGGCCGCTATCATCTAGCGAAATGTCGTAGAAATAATTAATTTGGATATTATTTACTGTAGTACGGTTCGGATAAGGTCTTTAACAAATTAATTGGGTATAGAAAAACTAATTTCAGTATTTCTTTATATTATCAAAGAAGTCCGGTTTGTGATTAGCTTTATATTATCTTTTATTTGTTATCGAGTTCGCCTTATATGATAACTATGTAAGTAAATACATAATTCTTATTTTTCAGAGTCAACGTATCGGTGATGCGGCCTATAACCAGAACTGGTTCGATTGCGACAGACGTTATAAACAACTTTTAGCTATAATCATAATGCGTAGTCAAAAGCCCGCTTCAATTCGTGCACCCACATTTCCACCAATCTCATTTCGAACTTATATGAAGGTGAGCGGTGTGTTAGTAATAAAACTTTTTTCAAGTAAAAGACCCCGATTTCTAATATTTCCAATTAAGAGTATAAATGTCTAAATCCCTCATGAAAACTGAGTTTCGGAAAGCGGAATTCAATATTGGCTTCTACCATCTTTTTGCAATCCAAGATACTAGTATTTATATACAAAGTCATTCATTTGGAGGTTCCCCACCTTTTTAAAGAAAAAACACAGAAACTTCAAATTTAATGGGGAATGTTTATTATTCCTCGAAAGAACTTTCATCCATTGAATCGAATTTTCGATTACTCGTTCGAGCATTTCGATTGGTAAATGATGTTTTACTTCAAGGCCTAGTCGAAGCGGGATTATCCGCATAGATTTTAGGCTTTATATATTTTTACAGGAAAAATCTAACGGTGTTATATCACAATCTGTAGGAAGTGGCGCCGTCTTGTTGAAACCAAATGTTCAGCGAGCTTCACTTTCTGGCACCAAATAGTCGGTTATCATGATGCGATAACGGTCGCCATTGACGGTTACGTTCTCACTGGCATCATTTTTAAATTAATATGGACCGATGATTTCGCCAGCCCACAAAACACAGTAAACCGTTATTTCTTCTGAATAAAATATCTGCTCGAATCTCTTCAGGTTGTTTTCGTCCCAAATGCGGCAATTTTGCTTGTTTAAATACCCATTGATCCAGAAATAGATCTCATTGCTGAACCAAATTTGGCTCGAAAACGTCGGATCTTCACGGAATTTTTCAAAAGAATTCTCGTAATAAAGTTGAACGATTTGTAAAGTTGTTCAAAAGTAAGTCCTTCATCATGAAGTGTCAAACAACACTAAACAAAAATAACACGACAGCTTGACACGATTCACGCGTGATCTGTCAAAAAAGTACGTTTACTTGGATCACCCCTTAGATTTAAAAGTTTTTTTTTTAAGAAAAAAATATGTAAATAAAAGGCATTGACTTTCAGTATTTCCATATTCGAGCTTACAAATGCTTCAGTGGCTCGAGAACACTCCGTTTCGAAAAGTAGAATTCAAGATTTGGAAGCCCTTGGTTTCTTTTTCACTTTTTTGCAATCTAAGAATTAATATACATACTATACATCAATTAAAATGCACCAAATTAATTATTAATTGACACATTGCTCTGATGTGAACCGTATTCCAGTGTGGGTCAGCATTGACCTTAACAAATGGTAGTCGGAAGAAGAAAGTTTGGGCTAAAGATGGGTAAGACAAAACTTCTCAGCAACTGTTTTCCAAATAGCTTTAACTAGTGGAAAATTATTTACTAATGTCTAGTCGCGAATTTTGGGTGGTTTTCATTAATGGTTCGGTGTTGTCGATAGTGTTTCCCATTAAATGTTTTAACCGGTATTAGAAGCTCATAACACAGCACCCCCTTCTAATGGTCTTGATTTGGTGGATTGCCCTGTTTATTACTTTTAAATGTTTAGAAATAGCTGCTTGAGTGACTTCCAAAGAATTCATCATAAAACACTTTTAAAGGCGCAAAGTTCAATATATATGAGTGAACAAAATTATTATTGTTTACTCTTCTAATGAGTGACATACTATTGTGGGCGAAAAATAGTAAGTCTTTTTAATTAAAATTTCGTGCGAAAACCCATTCGTCGAAATATATATCTTTTCTAGAGTGGTGTGACTGTCGATTAGTATTTAGTAAAGTAGTATACAGAAACGATTCACAAGGATAATAGCTTTCCCACGTATGTTCTGAGTATTAGCACAATAGAATAATCATCAAGTTACGCCATCTCTTGGCGAATCACATGAATATAGTTATAGGCCTTATATTTAAAGCACCAAGATCCAATTTATAAATTACATAATTATAAATATACGATATTAAATTATTTTCTCTGCTCGTTTTCATAGGTAATCAGCATGTCTTATCAATTTTTCGCGCTTTTGCGTACTACCTACAGTGGCAAAGGAAACTAGAAGCTTACAAAACTGTACTATATAATTAAAAGAACATACAACTAGTTATAAGAAACTCATGATTGCTTAAATATTAGAAACAGAATTGAATTAACCAAATTATTAATAAAAAGGTCGATATTTGAATTTTGTCAGCAACAATATTCACCTCATCCGCATTCAGATAGATATTGCGCGTACACATATTTGGAAAATCGAGGTCTCTCAGAGGATATTGCCATGGACAATGCGTAGCTGGTTGGCCATGAGCAAACAATATGCCGTCGGTATGTCTATAGTAGGGATCATAGAAGCAAAAAATGCAATACGCATTGTCATATCTGTGTGAAAAAATGAAATTATTTTAATGAAAAAGTATTCCAATTGATTTTTTTTGCGGCGCACTTTAACCTGGCAACGTTGCAACCAATGCGCCTAATTCGTGGATCGGCTAAATGCGTAAAATTATTTTCACCACTAAGCAATGCTAAGGATCGATTTTGAAAGTTTGTTTTTTTGGGCGCCTGCAAGTGATCCTTTTCGAAGTACCATCGACTAAAAACCATTTGCAGTAGTTCACGCGGCAAATAAAGCGATGTGAAGCAAAACCGGTTCATTGCTACAAACATTTCCTCTTGATTTGCTTGCGTCATATTGAGCAGAGTTTCGACATTCATTGGCAATGACGCGTGCGCGCATTCATCATCCTCATATGGCCGACACTGCAGCGCCCAATTTTCGGCCATTGTCGCCAATTGTTTGCTCCATTTGCTCAGCACCATATCGGCGACATGCATGCGGCTGGCAATACGTTCGCGTAGACCATTGTGCGCCATTAATAGCTGATTCCGCAGATCCAAGTCCTCCAGTTCGGCGCTGCGGTAAATGTAATATGACTTGTAGCTGCAGTTATGAACTTTCACCTGTCAGCCAATGGATTTGAATTAGTGGGCAAACGGATTCTTAAAGAGTCAGTGTGCTGTGGTAAAGACCAACCTGGTTGCAGAGCGTATGCCGACGCGTGCCGCATTTGGTTTTACAGAAATCGTTTGTGAAAGCACTTGAGGCGTCTCGACACAAAACTATTGAGCTTGCGAGAAAGATTGGATAGACGACAGCCAGATGCGAAGACATCATTTTGAGCGAGTGAGCTGATCAATTTCAAGCGACGTTTAATAGAACTTTTTGGCTATGTTTGTTTATTGAGAGAAGGGAATATTTTGACTGATTTTTGAATTTGTTATTCTTCAAAATCAAAGAAAAAAATATAAAAAAAAAGAAATAAGTAAATAAATAAATAATAAGGGATGCTTAAAGTCGGGGGAATATTTTACAACAATTTAGGGGTATGGACCTGGAATGTCCGGTGTCTTAATTGGGAAGGTGCCGCTGCCCAGTTGTTTGATGTTCTCTTAAAAGTAAAGGTTGACATCACCGCCCTCTAACAAGAGCGATGGATGAGATAAGGGCGGAAATGAATAGGTCTTGGTGGTATTTACATTGCTGGTGGGAGAAAAACTACGTCGCCGAGTCCTGCCATTCACCCTACCATCCGCTTCAAAGTGAAATTCTTGCCAGGGCCCGAAATATGGTTACCTGTAGCACTAAATTCTAGCATAGGAAAATATATCAGGCCACCTGGATCCCACCGAATCGAAAAGCCACCAAAAAAGGTCGATCATGTTGTGATAGACGAAAGACACGTCGACTTGTACCACTATTTTGTTTCAGCCAAGATACGCACCTGCCTCTGTGCAGAAAAAAACGCACGCCAACAAACACAAGGAAGGTTCGACGTCGAGAAGCTGAAATCACAACAGGGAGAAGAACGATTTTCTACTCCACGTGCACTTCGGTCCTCTGAAAGCGTTACCCGAGACAATGTTGCAATCCCCGATGAAATTGCTCAGATCGAGTCCCGGGTATAGACATATAGTTGCTATATAAAATGAAAGAATATTTTATATTTATGAAGCATATTATAGCCTCGGTGTAACCGATGTTGACGTTTTTTCTTGTTTTATTTACATTTGGATAGAAAATGACGTTTACTGAAACAAATCCTCGAAATCCCCTTCTCAAAAGTGTTCTCCAAAATATATCTAATTTATGTTTTTTTTTTTCCCAGTCAAATATATACAATTAACGATGCGCAGGCATCGCATATCGCATGTCAATTGTCAATTTCATGTCATTCAATTTGATTTATTATCGCTGTGTGGCTGACTAATTTTAGTAATATTAGACACCAAACCATTACAACAATACTTTCATAAACAAAGTTAGTTAAAGGTCACAAAAGCTGAATTATACACACAATCATAATACACATAATGAGTAAGAACCCAGCAGAACATGCTCGGAAGTTAAAGATAGTTTCAAGCAACACACTGATTTAGTACCTTTGGTTATATAAACAGCTCGAAAAACTTTAAAAGTTTTTGTTGATATAATTTTTAACTAAAAATATTTTTTTTGACAAAAAATATTCTTTATTTAATATTTAAGGTTAGGCAGCCTAAGAAGGCTGGGAATAAAACAAAATACTAGTTATGTGTTCAATTGCGAAATTTATATTGTACGAATATACATTGGAATTTGTGATTAATAATTTTTTTTTAATAATTTTCGATCTCTGACGGCGCTAAAAAGTCACCCACTTTCGGCGTATAAAAAAATTAGTCTTATCCATGCAATATATGTAAATAAAAATATATAATTTGGCGAAATAATATTAATTTCGATTTCTTGCTTGACATTTTCTTAAGGTTATTGCTATGCTTGTCAACTCATTGTTATCGTTGTTGTTGTTGTTTACTCTATTGGCATTAACCTGATATAATATTAGAGACATTAGTGTGAATGTCGAGTATATAAGGGTAACTCCAAGAGCTTATTATGTCGAGTCTATAGGAATATACAATATAAACAATTTTCAAATATTTTAAATATAATTAACTATTAATAAATATTAAATCACGTCGTCATCAAGAATAAACTTTTAACAGCTGCAGTTGATAAAACAGTATGTTAGGGGATTAGGAAATGCATAGAACGACTTTTTAAAGAGATTACTTTGATATATGCACCGGAGTCTGACTTTCTATAAAGTATTTATTTTAACTTTGACTTCCCTTTAATGAATTATAAATTTAAAACTTTACTACTAAGATATCCAGAAACTATGGTTAGCAATTTACGCCATAAAATCAAATTCCGTCATATCTTTTATTGGAAATACCCAAACACTTTGCATGTCTATGCACACACATTTGTCCAGAAGTGCGCATGTATGCATACATAATTTATGGCTTGCTAAAACTAAATTAATTAAGTTAACATCATTTGCAAATACCTAATCAATTTATAGTCCTCTATTGTCTAATGCACTTAGATGTGCACTAAGGCCATTTCTATGTATGTATGTGTGTCAAGCACAATTGTAGTGGAAAATTTGTTAATGATGCCGCATATTATTCAAATAGAGGTGTTTAATTTGCAATATTTAGGGATTTTGTCGAATAAATAGTTTCAGATAAATAAAGAGTGTGACTAGGTCATGGCGTCTTGGCGCCAGAAGTTTAAAATGTGTATTAAAGAGTAGGAAAAATTATAGATGGTTGTATAGTAGATTTTTTGTAACACGGTAAGAGATGGAAGGGGTGTTCATAGGTTGATACTCGAAAATATTTTGATATGCATTGTGAAGTATTATAGTATAACTTAAGACTTTTATACTCGGGGAAGTTGAAAAAAAATTACAGCTGTTCAAAAATGAGTGAAAATAATGAAGAGATTCGTTATATTTTAGACATTTTTGTATACAAAATCTAAGAATGCCACACAAGTCACCAATGAAATTTGTGAAGTTTACGGAGACGAAGTCTTATCTGTTCGTGTAGCAAAAAAATTGTTCGCTCGCTTCCGTTGTAGAAATTTCGAAGTGAAAGATGCACCTTGCTCTGGTCGACATATCGTTGAAAAAGTCGATGAAATTATGGAAAAAATTGACCAGGACCACCATATAAGCGAGCCATGACATCGCCAAGGAACTTAACATTCATCATCGAACGGTTCTGGCTACAAAATGAAAATCGACGTCTAGATAACACATGAATTGTCTGTGAAGAATTTAATGGACCGAATTTACATCAGCGATTCTTTGCTGAAACGAAAAGGAAAAGAACCATTTCTAAAGCGAATGTAACAGAAGACGGTATGTGGATCAAATAAGACAATAATGTGCGAAAAAGATAATGGTCCAAGCGTGGTGAAGCGTAACAAATGGTCGCAAAGCCAGGATTGACGCCTCGAAAGGTTATGCTGAGTGTTTGGTGAGATTGGAAAGGAATCATCCACTATGAGCTGCTTCAGCCTGGTCGAGCAAATTATTCTACATTTTACTGTCAACAACTGATGAGATAGAAACACAACACAACATCTTAGATGACTCGGCAAAAATTGGGAGCGCTTGGCTGGAAAGTTTTGATACATCCACCATATGGCCCTGACCTTGTACCAGCGGACTACTATTTGCTTCGGTCAATGCAGAACTCCCTTAGTGGAGTAAAGTTGGCTTCAAGAGTAGCCTGTGAAAATGACTTGTCGCAGTTTTTCGCAGAGAAACCAGAGAAGTTTGACCCTGATGGAATAATGTCTTTAGTGGAAAAATGGCAAAAACGGATCGATCAAAATGATGCATATTTGGTTTACTAAAATTCATTATAAATAAAAAAAGTTTAAGTTTGATTAGAAATGCGAAATGACTTTTTCGACTACCCAACATATAAATATTTTTCGAACTCAATCGACAGACAATTACAAAGCAAAACCAAACGCAGAATATAACCTCTAAATATACTAGACTTTCTTCTAAACTCCAAAAGAGGAATTCCCCAGATGAGCCCACAATATGATATCTTTTTTTATAAAAATTTCAATAAATCAAGTCAACTCTGCATTTTCCAAATATACATACATAGTTCAAAATGCTGCATAGTTCACACGCAATGAGAACGAAA